GACAGATCTCCTGCCTTGGCTCAGGCACCTTCTACAGTGATGCCTGAATTCTTCTCATTCTTCTCCATGCCCAGCACAGAGAGGGCTGCAAAATAACCCTTCCAAGATATCCAGACAAATGGGAGTGACAGAAAGTGAGGGCTGATGTGAACAGATGTTAATGCTACAGGTGAAGAGGGCTCCAAGAGAGCTGGAGAGGGACTTGGGACAAGGGCAGGGAGCGACAGGACAAGAGGGAATGGTTTCCCACTGCCAGAGGGCAGGGTTAGATGGGATATTGGGAAGGAATTGTTGGCTGTGAGGGTGGGGAGGTCCTGGCACAGAGAAGCTGTGGCTGCTCCTGGATCCCTGAAAGTGTTCAAGGCCGGGTTGGATGGGGCTTGGATTACCCTGGGATAGTGGGAGGTGTCCCTGCCCACAGCAGGGAATTGGAATGAGATGATCTTTAGGGTCCCTTCCAACTGAAACCATTCAATGGGATTCTGGCTAAGGGTTCACACACATGACCACGGAGCTTCCACTGTGTGAATTCCAATAGCAGAGGGTTTTGATGGGGTTTAGAAGCCAGGACTTGCCTGCCTGCTCTAACTTAGTCTTTTTGAGGTGTGAGTTTGGACTGTAATGGAAGCAGAAAAACAGGAGCCAGGCTCCCTGGCACAGCCCAGATGGAGCGGAATGGCATCTGGGAGAGGTTCAGTCTCTCCCGTGGATGGACTTCTGCAAATGTTCCTGTAGAGCTGCTGATCCCTAATACTAAATGCAAACCTACAGAGGGATGACCTTGCCCTTCTGGGTCAAGGATGCCACAGGAATGGCCTCTGGACCTGAAAGATGTGATGTCCACAGGTGGAAGAGCAATGCTGTATGAAGAGGACCACGATGGCTCACACACTGACCTGAAGTGTGAAACCTGCTGAATGTATTCTTTCAGGATCCTCAAATCCCTGCCCTTCCAATTAAAGCCCTCTATGACCCTGATCTCTCTGCAAGGAATTGGTTTCTAAAAAAAAAAAAGGTACTTAGTGCTGTGAGTGAGACTGTTGCACAGGCACAGTAGAATCAGAGAATCACAAAACCATTAGGGTTGGAAAAGACCTCCAGGATCATCAGGTCCAACCTTCAGGAATTCCAGTCCACACAGAAATGAGATTTCCCACCGATTTTGTACCTAAATCCATCTCATAGCATTTTTGAGTGTGTGTGTGTGTCTTTTCTTTGCAAAGAGGAGGTGTGAGAGAAAGCAGGAAGGCTCTCACAGGTGAGTTATGAAAGAACAAGTAATTTCTCATTATTTATCATTCACAAGTTGCTTCTCTGTCCTTATTTCATGCCCAAATCTCAATGGTTCAACTGCTGAGCAATGATCTGTGACTGTGACTTTGACATCTGCCACGAACTTGAAAATATTTCTTGGGGGGGCTAAGACTCTCAGATTTTCCTTGGTTAAGATAATATTTCACTGGAAAAAAAATGATATGAACCTTGTTCATCAATGCCCTGAGTAAGGGACTGTCAACCAGACAGACACAAATCCTTCAGAGCTGCCAGCATCTTCCCTGTAGTTCCATTGATTTTACTGGAGTTACCTGAAATATAAATATGATTTCAAAGTATTGATGAGTGGATTGGAGCAGGAAAGTTTTCCATGTCTCTGCAGGCCTGGAAAATATTACCTCTCTGTCCTGGATTGCATTTCCACTTGGACAGGTGTGACTTGAGAGGAGCAGCACCGAGTCAGGATTTTGGCGGAGTTACACGGGCACAAGCAAGGGGAGGATTGGACAAACTCTGCCTAAAGCCCTGATGGATTTGAGAGCCTCCTCCAGAAGCTTAGGTAGCTTTTCTTTCTATCCTTAGCAGCACAGTCCTGATTAACCCTCCGAGCTGTGGTCAGTCATTTTGAGGACAGTTTGATTGACAGCAGTTAATTAACCTGCTCATGCTTTTCCATGACTGGTACAGTGAGTTTGATCCTGTAGGTGCCTGGTTAGAAGTGTTGCTTTTTTATTTTTTTTTTTAATTAATATTTTGTTGATTTGTTTTTAATCTCTTGGATATTCTGTAAGAAAAAGCCACCTTGAGCAAGAAGGATGAAGTATTTCAATGTGAGTATAAAAATATTCATTGAGACTCCTCTTATTTGTCTATTAAAAGATGCATTTGGGCAAGATGGGCATTTTTGTTGCCTTGGCTGATTAAAAGTTTGTTGTTTTTTTTTTTCAATTCTGACACTTCAAATAGATTATATTAAACTTCTCTGGGTGGGAACTGTTTATATTTCCTGCAAGGTTTTTATGGAAGGCTCTTTATTGCCATGATAAAAAAGCAGATCTGACAGACCATCTAGCCTTGGGTGGGTAGCCAACTCTATCACTCAAAATTTAAGGGATAATATTCCTTTACATTGCTGATCCCTTCACAATCCTGTGAAATCATTATTGAAATTATTATTGGGAAAGTATGCTCTGATTTGCCCTGTACTTAATTCCTTGGTACTTCTTACAATATGATTTAACAGCTTGAAAAATGTAGAACAAATCCTTGGGAAGCAGATTTCTAATGTGGGACTTGTGCAGAAAAAGTTAACCCCACCTTTCTGAAAGCTATTGAAAACTAGAGGAGTGAGATATTTTTTTTTTCCCCTGGAAGTGATGAGTTTGAGGGATGGATTGACCTTTAACTGTGAAATAAATAAGGGAATAATTGCTTGGTGAAATATGTACATGGAAAAAAATAAATTGTGCTCAAATCTTTTTGATGTCCATGTATATATATCTATATATATCTATATAAAAAAAAAAGGCAGGAATTTGTCAAAATAATAGTATTTCAAATGTTGCCTCGTATTTTTCCATCTAGCCAAGGTTTAACTTCCATTTATTGCAGGAGAGAATTTGCTGTAGTACAACGTGTGCCAATATTTCACTTCAGAGTTGCATAGTGAGAATATAAAGGTTTTGTTCTAAAATATGGAGAAAATGAGCACTGACAGTTTTTTGAACGCTGCACCTCTGGAATCAATGACAAAATTCCCCATTATTGACAGTGGGCACCAAACTGATCCTCCAAAGAATAATTTGTGAGTAGAATGACTACTGAAAGTAGAACTTTATTCAGCTGCTGTAAGAGGGGTAACCAGGAGCAAACTGAAGGAAATCTGTCATTATAAATCCATTTATTGTGTTCTAACTCATTTGCAACCATTAAAAAAAAAAAAATCTCCTTTCTTGTGAGTTTTTTAAAAGTTACCATGAAAAACTGATATCAACTAAGAACGTAAATTGGATGTAGTTGTTTGTAATCAGAACCATCCTCTGTCAGCTCCCATCCTACTGCATTCCTTGCTCACAATTCCAATGGCTTCCTGTCCATCTGTGAGCAGAGAGATGATCAGAAGGTGACATCCCTAAGTGCCGTTTTTAGAGACTCCATTTAAGTTTGAGTAATTAACTCAGGGTAAACTGTGGGATCAGCATCCGTTGGGCTCATTACAACCAATATTTTAGCAGTTGTGAATAGTATTAATCCTTCCTTTTTTCCACGTCAAAATCAAAGTGTCTTCTTTTTTTTTTTTTTTTTTTTTTTTTGAGTAATAATTCCATCCCACGCGAGGCCTGAATTTTTTAGTGATTGACTTCCAGGACAATGCATAAGAAAGAATCCAATTTCTTCTCCACTTGCTTCCATCGTGGCAAAGACATTAAAAACACTTGTGTTCAAAAGTTGGGGTTCAACCACAGTGAGACACCGAAGGCAGTTTATCTTTAAAAGTGGAGGACAACAACTGTTCCAACACAAATTGGGCAGAACCTTCTCCTCTCCTCTGTGCTTAGCAATTGCAAGATTTCCCACTGTTTAGCAGAACCGAGTTTTTGAGGTCTATTTGAGGTCTTGTGATATTTCTTGCAGTTATTTTCCGTCATAACCGCCGTAAATTCTTCATCCAGAACTTACCTCGTGGCACATCCATGTGCAACTGTTTTGAAACCAGACTCACTCTGCTCCTCAGCAAACTCAGGACTGGTTTGTGCTACAAAGTGTAATCACTCCATGAGCAAATTCAGCTTTGGTTTGGTTTGGTTCTTGTTATGCTCCAGTTCATGGGGTTAAAGGGCTCCGTGAGAATCTCAGCGCTCTGTTTGTAAAAATAAAGCTGAAATAATCACTGGCTCTGATAATTTCGGAGAAAACCTCAAAAGTATAAGCAAGGAAGACACAAAACTCCAAAGGACAACAATACACTTCTTGTGGGTTTCTCCTGGGGTCTGACTCATGCTTTTTGTGCCTCGGGGGTGACTAACACTGGCTGGATTCTCACTGGCATCTGCAGGACAGGGGTGATGTGGCTGTGAGGAGCAGGGTTATGGCCTCTCTTCCTGCTCTGTTTCCTTGTATCTACCTGAACCATGACCACCACGTTGGTACAATGTGCTCTTGACCAAGCACAGATGGGAAAATTGTTGTGAGGAACAAAGACTTCGCTTCCATGTTGGTCAGGCACTGATTCTGGTGAAGGGCCTTGAGGAAAAACCATGTGAGGAGGGCTGAGGGCACTTGGTGTGTTCAGCTGGAGAAGAAGAGGCTGAGGGGAGACCTCATTACAGTTACAGCTTCCTTGGGATGGGCAGAGAAGGGGCAGGACCTGAGCTCTGCTCTGTGGGGACCAGTGACAAGACCCAAGGGAATGGCCTGAAGTTGTTTTAGGGGAAGTTTAGGTTGGATATTAGAAAGAGGTTCTTCCCCCAGAGTATGGTTGGGCACTGAACAGGCTCCCCAGGGCAATGGGCACAGCCCCAAGGCTGCCAGAGCTCCAGGAGGGTTTGGATGATCCTCTCAGGTACATGATGTGACTCTTGGGGATGGGTCCCTGTGCAGGCCTAAGGGTCAAACTCGATGATCCTTGTGGGTCCCTTCCAACTCAGCACATTCTGTGATTTGCTGTCTCAGACAAACCCTACTCTGTTCTTTCTTCTATTTGCAGTTACCTTTAAGCAAGAGAGATGTCTCAGGTGCCTGCTGACCTCCTGTCGACCGCCAGCTCCTACAACTATGACCCACCCCTTCCCTCCGTGGCTCGGGCGAGCGCTCTCACCCAGGTACCTCCAGCCAAAAAAATAACCTTCTTCAAGAGCGGAGACCCTCAGTTTGCAGGAGTCAAGATGGCCATCAACCAGCGGAGCTTCAAGAGCTTCAATGCCCTCATGGATGACCTCTCCCATCGGGTCCCTCTGCCGTTTGGGGTGCGCACCATCACCACCCCACGAGGAATACATTGCATCAGCGAGCTGGACCAGCTGGAGGATGGAGGGTGCTACCTGTGCTCCGACAAGAAATACGTGAAGCCGATTGGCATCACTCCGGGGGGACACAGGCCGGCCCCTCCACGACACGCTCGTCCCCCCACTACCATGAGAAGAGCAGCTCAGGAGAGCAAGCTGGAAGATTATTCCACACCTTTCACTCACCATGGCCCCAGAATACCCAAGAAAATCACTCTGGTTAAGAACGGGGAAAGTGGGTTTCGGCGCTCCATTATCCTGAACCGCAGGAACGCCCGGAGTTTCAAAACCCTCCTGGATGAGATTACAGAGATCCTGCAGTTCCCAGTGAAGAAACTCTACACCATTGATGGGAAGAAGGTTGGTATCTCTGATTCCTGGTGCTGGTCACTTGTTCAAACAGGTGTTACCACATCAGCTTTTGCATTCCCTGGGACACAAATCCTTTAGAGTTTATCCTTCGGGCTTTGTCTCATTAATTATTTCCCCCTTAATTACATAGAAATCTGATGTAGAAGAATCCTGTTCAGCCACTCAAGAACTTCATAGAAAACGTTGTTTTGGGCCAAAGGGAGGTTCAGGTGCTCAGTGTTTTGCAGCTGGGTATAAAACTCTTAATAAAAAGTTCTATTAGTGGAATTTTCCGTGCTTTCCTAGGAGGTATGTCCCAAAAAAATGCTTAACTTTTCTATACCTGACCACTGGGAATTCAGCAGAACCAGATGGCCCTGTGTTAGTGTTCGTCATAGAACCCTCACAGGGTCCTGCTTATGGTGTGGGATCTTCAACATCATAAGACAACAAAAAAATGCATAATTAATTAGGGTATGAGTGGGATCAGGAGACACATTTGTGATGATTTGGTGAATGTGCCAACTGGGGTGGACTCTTATAATGAAGTCAGGGTGTGACAACTCCTTTGTTCTTCTGGTCCCAAAGGAATTTCCTGGCCAACCTGGCATTCTCCTAACTTCTCCATCTCTTTGTAACGCAGACTAACCTTTACTTCCCTATTTCTGAAGAGGTCCCACATGTTATCTGGGCTTGTCCCTGGCAATGCAGCTGAGTGGAGCAGTTATCCTACTCCTTGCCACTTCTCCCACCCTTCCAGGGCTGTGTGCCAGCTCTTCAGAGGGAACAATACAACCATTTGTGGTGTCACTTTCCGAGCCAGGTGACTGAAATGTCTCGGGTTCAAATGATCCGCTATCCAGGAGAGGGAAGAAAATGGAGGAATGTTTTTAGCCCAGATCACTTTGACCTGGCACAGGGACAGGAACGTGCAGTAGGAAGGAGAGAGGGAGGGGATAATGTGGTTTAATTCCTCCTTCCTGGTGGAGGCAACATGTCATATCACTGCTATGCTCCCCACTCTGGAAGGAGCTTCCTATTCTCAGCTGGAGGATCCAAGGAAAATGTCCTTCCCAAATATCCTAGTGCTTTAGCTTTCCCAATTCTACTTATCTAAAGGCTGAAAGAGTATCAGCCTGAGTTTGATGAGATGAAACCTCAAGGAAAGGATGATGCTGCTCCACATGTGCCAGACAAGTGAAGCTGAAATATTGCTGAGAATCTGAGAGTCATAGAGGTATAAAATATACTGAGCTGGAAGGGACCCTCAGGATAACTGAGTCCCACTCCCAGCCCTGCACAGGACACCCCAAGAATCCCACCACATGTCTGAGAGCATTGTCCAAACGCTTCTTGAACTCAGACAGGCTTGAGGCTGTGAGAACTGCCCTGGGGAACCCATTCCAGTGCTCAGGATTTGTGAGAAGGGGCACAGGAGCAAAAGAAGGAACTCAGCTGTGGATAACCTGGGATGTGGACATGGATTGAGATAAACAAAATAGATACTTAATCTTAAATTTTATGTCTTGCTTATGGGACTAGTCTGAGTGGAAGATGAGCAAGATGAGCAACCTACTGTAGGATTCATCTTTCCTAAGTGTGTCCAAAGCAGGTTTTTCTCCTAATGAGAGGAAAAAATGATTCATTTTTGATAAATGGATGGTAGACAAGGTGAATCCTGTGCCACAGACTGTTCCAGCAGGGTCTAGAGAGTAAGTCATATGAGGAGTGGTTGAAGTAGCTGGAGTGGTTTAGTCTGGGGGAAAAGAGGATCGGAGTGGACCTTCTCACTCTCAGAACTCCCTGACAGGAGGGGGGAGCCAGGGGGGGCTTGGGCTCTGTTCCCAGGGAACAAGGGACAGGACAAGAAGCCTCAAACTGCACCAAGGGAGGTTCAGGTTGGACATCAGGAGGAATTTCTTCCTGGAAAGGGTGGTCAGGCATTGGAAGGGTCTGCCCAGGGAGGTGTTGGAGTCACCATCCCTGGGGGTGTCCAAGGAAAGATTGGACCTGGCGCTCAATGCTCTGGGCTGGGTGACAAGGTGGAGATCAGTCACAGGTTGGACTCGATGATCTTGGGGGTCTTTTCCAACCTAAATGATTCTGTGACATGAAAAGAAAGAAACAGGCACTTTTGACAGCAACTTTCCAAGTAAGTGTCCAAATTATTGTGGGTATCTGTAGCTCGATTCACTTCAGGTTCAACCACCTGAAATGACACATCAGTGCCCAAATGCTTCTGTAAGTGAGGCTGAGCTCCCACAGAGCTGTTCAGACTAAGCTGGCAGTCCACTGAGCTCAGAAGTGGCCAAAACAGGTGTCTACAGACCTTCAGAATCATCAAGGTTCTTTTTTTCCCAGCTTTCATCACATTATTTACAACGTGAAGTTTGCTGTGCACCACAACTACACCACTAAATTAAAAGTGTTACAGCAGGATTTCATTCCTCTCTCTCCATTCTGCTAAATTCTTAACACCATCCCTGATTTGATCCATATTTTAGATTTAGGGCCTGTGACAATTCACCATAGATGGTTTGGATGTGCCCAGACCATGTTTGAGCAGCCAAGCTCAAAAACCAAACCAAACCCAACCCTGCTACCAAGATGCCTTATAATCTATGGATAAGTATTTTAATTTGTCACTGATTTCTCCATTTTTCAAGACTTGGACTGTTCAGTCCACATGGACACGAGTAATCTTGTGTAGTGGATGTAACTTTGCCTCCATTTCTACTTTTTTTAGAATTTTCACATATTTCTCTAAAGAAAAGGGTTTTTTTCTGCTTCTTAGTGCAGTCAATATTCTCGTTGTGACTCTTAAAATAATTCCCCACAATTGTACTTCTAATCACTGTAAACACTGGTATTTTAAGTGGGATATGCATTAAATACACATTCTATAAACAGAACATCTTCAATATTATTCAACCTTCATCTTTCTTTTCATCTAATGACACTCAAACATCTTACATTTTCAGCTCTGCTGATGGTCACCCTGTCTAAAGTTCTAATACTATATTATATTATATAATCTTGAGATTATATTATATAATCTTAGGATTCTTTTTTTTAATACGAAAATTTTCATGACTGTCTTGTCAATACGTGGTTGATCTTCTGTACCTTAATAATTTTATTTTCACTCCTTTTATTCCTTTTATATCTCAGTGATAGATAAATATGGGTCCAATCTGAGCCATGTTATCATATTATATATATAGCCAGGAAATACATGATTATTACTGTATTTCCTGGAAAACCTTTCACAGTGATTTTTTTGGCCATTCTTAATTTCAGTCATTTACCTCCAGCTTTTTAACTCTTCACTTCTCATCATTTAATAGCCATTCTTATTAGGGCTTCCTGTTACTTTAGGCTTGGGTGCCATGACCGTTGAAAAGTATCTGAGTGCTTCTTATTTCTTGGGTATTTCCTTGTTTCTGGTATTATTCTCTTTCAACAATAATTCAAATAATTTTATAAACTTCTTTTAACACGTCTATGTAATTAGGATTGAGGGGAACAAGAACTTTTGACATTTATTCCCATGTTTCGACAGCTTAGCAGAATAAGACTCATTCCTAGACTTTGTCTGGCCTAGAATAACATAATTCCCAATATTTAATAGCTTGTTCACAATGTCTTTTTTTCTGACAGTTTTTCCTCGATCTCTTGAAAGCCAAACACACACCAAAAAAAGAAAAAAAGGGAAAAATCTCCTGTCCTGCAGGTGACTCAGTCTACTCCATCAATTCATAGACTTCAGCGTGTGTCCTCCTCAATTCCCTTTTGTTTTCTCTTACTGCAATAATTCCAGATCTAAACTCAAATCTAAAATGAGCTAAATCTGTCCCAGTGGGTCTGCTTTAATATCTTTTTAATATCTTTAATACAATTTTAATATCTTTACCATTTCCTTGAGTAAATCCAGGGCACTTCAGAATTACAAGTCTTTATGAGGGTATAAATTTGGACACCCATGGATGGAATAGACTTGTTGTTTCCTGTTCCTTTCATGCCTTATCGATTTAAAAAAAGCAGAGGAAAGGGATTTCTTCCTTTTGCAGTCTATCTAGTCCACAGATTTTTCCAGTAAACCTCTAAGTTTAATTGAATAAAAACTCGAATCATCACTGGTGACCAGAGAGGAGAGATCAAGAGCCATCAGAGGCCAGCAGAGCTTCTTGCTTTGTGATCACACTTTATTTTGCTGTCATTCTGTACTTTCTTCCTCCCGTTTTTCTGCCTATTTACCTGTCACAAATATTCAAAACTGTATTTTTGAACTTCCCAGGAAAAACCAGTTCAGTAGAAATAGTGATCTAAAAGCCTCAATTCCCATGTCAGTATAAACCCAGAGTGGTCCTACTGGTATTTACATATTTGCATTTTCATTTTAGCTCCTGAAGCTTTGAGTGAGGTGAAAACAGTATTTTTAACCCTAAGAATCAAGCAGACTTCTTATCAGAAAAGCAGGACTTGTCCCATTGCGGGGAACAGGTGTTTAAGTGTTTGGGCACTGCTTTCATCAGAGCAAATAGCTCATTTTCCCAAACTAGCCACGATTTTTCTTGTCAGGTTCTAAATCAAAATAGTCATTTGGTGAGCATGGGACAGGAGAAAAATTTCATTTGATTTTTTCAGTAATCGATCAAAGTTTCAGCAAGAAAATCAGCAAAAATCAGTCAAAGTTTTAGCAAGAAAAGTAAGTGTAAATCGAAATCTTTTTCCAGGTCAAGCCACTTGCTGCTCTTTTCCAGGTGATTAACTGGAAATAACTGGATTAACTGCCCAAATAGGGAGATTTGTTATTAAGGTTAAAATGACATATAATTAACTTGTCAGTGAAACTTTTTGCACCTTTTCCCACTAAAACATACACAGGCCTGGACCTAATTCATTAATTCATCTAGATCTGATCAGTTTCTGAGGCATTTAGGATGGGGAGACATTTTATCCCTCAGCTTCTACTTATTGACTGTAGTAAATTGGAAGACAGACTTAGT